TACTTATCCCGATGCAGTTTTCTTCAATTTTTTCTTTGAAAAACATATCAGATGTTATCGTTTGGAAAAAGGCCAACATATTTCATTCATGTGGGGGATTGTTGGAAAAATGGTTATGAAATGGGTCAATTTTAAGCCTAAATTTTAGTAGGACCCACCTTTTAATTAATACGGGACCTAGCATATTCACGTTCTACTCCGCGAGATGATTAACGTGATATATTTATTTGTCGGAAATCATTTAAAATTGAATGAAATATTAAGTGTTAAATTAACCCACATAAACTAAGTATTATGAAAGAAATTGATTTTTCAAACACTTATCCCATATAGGAAAGTTAGGAAACTTTGGTGTGGTTTATAAGGTGGATGTTTGGAGTTGGGTTTGGGCCTGAAGGAGTACCAATAGTCTTTGGAAGGGGAAAGACCTATATCCTATTGGGTTCGGTCATAAACCCACACGCACTCGTCGCCGCCGCCGTCCGTCCTACCGACCGGCTCGGCACGGCACGAGCACGTGCCCGTGCCCGTGCCATTGTCCGAGTCCAGTTCGGTTCGGGTGCGGGTGGACCTTTGCACTATATTAACTTTTTGGACAAAATTTATTTAAAATTTTGGGCCAAATTGTAAATAATCAAATTCTTGAGTACATTATGAAATTTAAATTTTTGGCTTATTCCGGGTTTTTTTTAACAGTCGTCTGTTTACCGACTACACAGACGCAACTTTTAAGAACAGCATGTCTGTTCAGATTTTTGAGATTTGTCTGAAAGGTGATGACTGTTCGAATGGCCACGAACAAGTCTATAAATAGCCTGCCTCTCTACCAGAAAATTTTACGCCATTTTCATTGAAATTTTTCTGTGCTTTGAATCTCATTCCTCTCTCTCTCGTTCTAATATTGTCTCGAAATAAAACACACTTCATTGAGTTTGTTGGAACTCCTGTAGATAGCAGTGCTGCTTTCGTAGGAGACGAAAATTTGTTCTATCTTGGGATAAGATTGTTAGATGCCTTTAGCATCATTGAAGGCAGCAAATTCGTTTTAAGGAAACATCACGAAGTCGGTGGGCTCGAATTACATTTTGGATCCTGTTGATCATTTCTTACATTCAGGTGATTCTGTCGGATTGGTTTCAAAGGAGTAACGTCAAACTCTAGAAACAACATCAACTTCGTCAAGGCAAGATCGAAAATTTGTTATTCAAAGGGAAAAATAAATCAACAAGAGTAATGCCCAATAGAAAGAACGAATTACAGCAACGATCGATTAATAGTACCGATTTACTGTCCAGCTTAATATGTATGCAAAATGTGGTCTCGTTATTTAGTTTAATGAACAAGAAAAATATGGAGTCTTCGGTGGCCATATTTTCGGCGTCACGGTTCATGGCAATGGAGAAGAAGTAATTGTTCTGTTTACCTGAATGGAAGTAACTGGTCTTGTTGAAAAGGGACAGGAGCATTTTGAAAAAATAGTGAATGTCTAAGAGTTAAATGTTTGAACACTTATTGAACTTTACACAATGTCACGTTTCACTCATCAAACTTACATTTGCACCCCATTACTCACTAAACTTTGTACAGTTGCATTCCATCACTTACCGCCCAAAATCTGTTAATAGCTCATGCCTATGTGTCAAACGAAATACGCACATGGCTCGTTAAATGTTTCCAGCTAGAATTAAATTCCATGTCAGTAATTAATTAATTGTCATCTTTTTCCCAACATGCCACTTTAATGTGAAAGCATGAGAGATGAAAACCATACACAGCAAAACGAGATCTATAGCAAAAACCATTTTCATCTTTCAAATCTTGGATTCCCAAATCGCGTGAACCCTAACCCCAAATCAAAATTGTTTATTTTTCCAACTTTGAGCAAAATGAATTTTTTTTTCATCTTTCAGTAAAACAAATTTGTTTTTCCAAATTTTTTCTGCTATGAAATCGGTCAAAATATGGGGATGACTAAAATCGGTCTTGGCATTAGTTGGGCTTCAACAAGGGAGATGGTGTGGTGAATTTTGCATAGTTTAAGCAGATGAAAGAAGGGAGTGGATTTGCTACATTAATTAAATATGTGTGTGTGTTTTTTCTTCTCCAGAAACTTTTATAGGCTCTGTAAATATATTCACAGTGTTGTTCACCAAATTCAAGCACTTTTCACCACCATTTTAGGCTTGTTCAATATGATGATTTATGATTTTGGACTCGAGAGATTTATATCTCCAATTTTGTATTTTTCTATTTGATAGGAAATAACTGTTGGTAAATTTAATTGGTAGTGGAATCGGGTTCTCATATACCGTATTAGTGATTTAGACACCGGATTCACACTTACCGTATTTGACAGTTGCTTACCGTAGTTGGTAGCTGCTTATCGTATTTGGCAGTTCAACTCACCGTATATAGCAACTCACTGTATATGCTAGGCAGCTCACTGTATTTGTCAGCTTACCGTATATGCCAGTCCACTCACCGTATGTGGCAGTCCAACTCACCGTATTTGACACTTACCGTATTTAGCAGAGAATTAAACACAGAATTTCCACAAACTAGTTGTTTCATACAATCACTTTCAATAACATAGAGTTTGGTGTTTGTTTTCACATACTTTGCACAAACACAATTTCGTATACAAAATAAAAAAATTCAGATAAATTTTTTTTCTATTTTTATTTCTCACAAAGATATAGAATATTATCTAGATTGTAAGAATTAAAACAAATTACACCCGATTTCCACTTTGAGCTCCAATTTCTCATTCACCCGAGTTTCATTTTTGACAAATAAATACATGAATTCAATGTTTTCGTGGAGGAGAACACATATCAACTTTGATATTTCAAATTGGACCAACGGGTCCCACCGAAAATTGTGCCAAAAATGAGCCACTCACTCATTTTTTCTAACAATAACAAGGTTTCCCATTGGACCAGGTTTCTGGGTTTCTGTCAACCACAATATCAATTGTAAATTCAATAACAAAGTCATGCTATATGCCTATATCAATGACAAACACCAAAGACAGCCATCTTCAATTAATTGAGCATATATGCGAGTTAGTTAATATACAAAACAGGCTGCATATACAAAATAATTTGCATCAAAGTAATTCCCAAACCTATGCTCACAGTTAAGCTACATTATCAGTCAGTTTCAACATCAAAATTCAAAAATAGCCCAAAAATCAGTAACTTTCCTATACTTTAAGGTTTGGGCTGACTCACAAAAGTAGTTCTAAGAAATGTAGGCTTCAATGTGTTGCAGTCCTAGCAAGTCTCCTAGCGTTCGCTCTTGCTACTCTTGATCTAGAAGACACATTGTTTTGCTCATCCAGTTCTTCAAAATTCATTTGCTCAATAATCTCTTATGTGTGAGACGATGGTCCAATTTCACTAAATGGGATAGAAGCTGCTGGCACTTCATCCTGAAAAATTGTTTGATGTTGGTTCCCAATGCTAGGTGTGGGCATGAACTGAAAACTTTGAAACTCTTTATGTGGTTGGCTCAAACCAGCTCCATACCCTCGGTCTGGCACCAATTTTCCCTGATGACAGAATACCATCAAAACCAGTCAATAAACCATAGTTTGACATACAGAAGTAAACCATTACGTCCTCTAACGCGTGCCTTCTCGAATCAGCCGGCTCCAACTGTCCTTCATACCAGTCCTACAATTGGAAGTGATTTTCTTGAGTGTTTTTCGAATTGTAAACATCATTAAACATTTTAATTACTACTTACGTTGAAAGGTGCATCAAACCTTGAGTGATATCTTTTATTGTGGCCCTTTAATCCACAATAAACCATAGTTTGACATACAGAAGTAAACCATTACGTCCTCTAACGCGTGCCTTCTCGAATCAGCCGGCTCCAACTGTCCTTCATACCAGTCCTACAATTGGAAGTGATTTTCTTGAGTGTTTTTCGAATTGTAAACATCATTAAACATTTTAATTACTACTTACGTTGAAAGGTGCATCAAACCTTGAGTGATATCTTTTATTGTGGCCCTTTAATCCATAGATTGAGCATGTCATGGACACCATTCCTTTTTTCCTAACATGTGATCGTCCATGGGAGCATTCGATAACATCTTCCTCGGCTTGTTTCCTCCTTTTATTTTGCTTTCTTCCCCTTTGTGGGGTATTCCATAAAAGTGGAAAGATAGGAAGAGTGTCTAATCGAGGCCATAATCGTCTCCCATTAATTGGATTCATAATGTGATCATAGCATCTCAAATATGTATCAGCGGTGTAGTAGTTGTCCACGAAATCCTCAATTTCATTTCTAGTCTCCCGTATAACGGCAATAGCGTGACTACATGGAATTCCTGTCAACTCCCACCTTCTACAAGCACAACTCTGCTCTTCCAAGTCGATGACATATGTCCTATATTTGCAATCCACTTGCCACCTAGGCCTTCCTGAAAAATGTAATGTGCATTCATTGGCCATCTCAGTTATCTTGACCAATTTTTTTTTTATTCTCGAACACAATTGCCCTCCATATCTCATCATCTTTCTTTGGCGTTTCTCGATCCTTATCATGAACGCTAATTGTAAATCTGTCGACATCGTTATGATTAACTTCTTCCTATCATCAATCAACATCTTGTTGAAAACTTTGCACAAATTGTTCAACAAGATGTCACTTTTCAACTGTGTTTTGAAATGAGATTTACTCCATTTGGCCGCAGGCCTCTCTGTTAACCATTTATGGGCACCTTCACTGAGTTGGAGAATCTGTTGTATCCACTGTCTGTGGTCAACCAATGCAGTTGACTTAGCAGCTCGCCAAAGTAAATCCTTCAAAGTCTTTCCCTTGAATCCCAAATTGAAAAAGTTCGTGTACATGTGTCAGACATAAAACCTATGCTCAGCCTCGGGAAATAACTTGTCAATTACCTTACTTAAGCCCTTTTGTCTATCTTTCATCATAGTCCAATCAGTCCCATTTTCCATTTGAATATGCTCAGCCAGATATTTCAAAAACTATCTCCATGCAACTGTGTTCTCTTTCTGTACAACCGCATAAGCAACTGGATAGATACAATCATTTGCATCTAAGCTGACTGCAGTGAGCATTATACCTCTCCAAACACCCCGAAGGTGGCACCCATCTACTCCAATTATCTTCCTACACCCTTGTTGAAACCTCGATTTGCAAGCACTAAAACAGACATATATACGTTGAAACACTTGTCCTGTTAGTGCTATCATCACTGTGGATCCTGGATTGGTCCTCAAGACCTCTGCTGCATACGACCTCAATCCTGTAAATTGTTCTTCAATAGTCCCATTTATCAATTGCTTTGCATATCTTCTAGCCTTCCAAGCGACATTCCGCGTAATATTTACCTTCAAATCTTCCTTCACGGTTGCTTGCATACTTTTTGTTTTCAACTCCGAATCCACCTTAAATTGCTCAATATACCGATGGACTATGAATATATAGTTGCAATGACGATTGTACTGATCTTGACTACATGTGTGTGAAGGCGTATATGACTTCACTTGCACCGTATCTGAATTATTCATCTTAGAAGCCCATATTCTCCATTCGCAACCTAGTTTACAGATGCCTTGAACTCTTTTTTCATCGTTCGCCTTACACTTCACATTATATCCATTTATTGCACCATACGTTCGAAGCACCTTCCTGAAATCTTGAATAGAATTGAATAATTGTCCCACCTCAAACCGTGGATCCCGTATATCCATATCAGCTGTAAATTCTGAAAATCGATAGTCGACCTCATCGTCAGATGACACACCAGACAACAATTCTTCAGAGGAGGGACATTCTAAATCATCAAACTCATGGTCTTCGTCATGCATGGTTACTGCATGGCCATCTTCATTGCATTCCGTGGCCCCCACATCATAGCCTAATTCAACTCCCTCTGTCACATTTTTTTCAAATAGCAAATCATCTTCACCAGACGATATATTATTGTTGGAATCACTGAAGTCCGAGTCATCCTCCATATCAATAAAAAAGGAAAAAAAAAAGAAAAAATGGGGAGTTAAAGACTCGTAAAAATTGCAGAATAACAGAACCTTCATTATATTCCAAAGTGCCCAACTTTAGCAGATTAACATAGGCAAGCAAAGCTATATCTAACTTCCATTCTTTAAAACCCACCCTTGCTCTATCATGAAACCTATACTATATTAAAGAAAAAGGTTTGGAATTTACCTGGATTCAGTCCTTCCATGTGGATTTTTCACAAATCCAACCTTTTGCGGTCAAGGTAAGACCTTCAGTTGTTATATATTGTTTGATTTTGGGGGTAAGGGTTCACAACAATCTCTGTTATTGGAGTGGAATTTCGTTTGGATTTTGTGGGGTTACATTTCTTTCTTTTGGATATAGATTCATGATTTCAAAAGGAATTAGGTCTCATGCTTTCAATTTCTTTTGGCTAAGGTGTGTTTGGTAGTTTCAAATTACTGATTGGAATTTAATTCTGAGCTGGAAACATTTAACGAGCCATGTGTGTATTCCGTTTGACACGTAGGCAAGAGCTATTAACGAATTTTGGGCGGTGAGTGATGGAGTGCAACTATACAAAGTTTAGTGAGTAATGGGGGTGCAAATGTAAGTTCAATGAGTGAAACGTAACATTGTGTAAAGTTCAATGAGTGTTCAAACATTTAACTTGAATGTCTAACTATCAAGCCAACTATGGAATATTGCAGATACATGATTGAATTGATTGGGCATGCTAGGAAGATTGAAGAAGCTTATCCGATTATTATTATGTTTCCAATTGAAGAAGCCTTTTCTGGTGGAGGGTGGAGACGGCAAAACCAGGCGGCAACAATTTGCTATTGGAGGTTCCACAACTTAGGAAAGAAAGTGACTGCGATTTCTGTGTTTGGGAAATGAAAGGTGGGTATGCATATCAAAGGCCGATTTGACTTTTCATTGTTTCTTTTAAGTCAATAAAATTGAGTAATTAATGGATGCTATGTGTGATGCCACATAGGGCGATTATGATAGTCGATAACTAGGAATAACATTACTCATTCGTTCAATAGAAACTAGTCTTCCCCAAATTGACAATTGAAAAAAGTCTCCTCCTTCAAATCCCAAACTCTTCTCCTTCAAGTCAAAAACTTCTCATCTCCTTCTTCTTTTGAGGTTGGCGACTATGGAAAGTTTTAAGGGAACGGCGATGTGCGTGGAGGGTTGAGGTTCGAAATCCATCTTCTTCATTTCCAAACCAGCGACGAGCTTCTATTTAGGAAAATCAACATAACTTTTCCATATTTTGAAATATGAAGTACCTAAAGAATGGATTTGATTTTCAATTGATTTTCTTTTATTTGAATTACTTGCCATGTTTTTATTTATTTATTTTGGAGGGGGGGGGGTTCGTGAGAGGGATAATTGATTTTTGTTCCCTAGATTTGAGGATTTTGGTTTTGTTTAAATGTTAGGGATCATCCATCACTAAAGTTGATAGATTTTCTTAAGGCCTTTACTTTCTAAATTTGAGCTTTTGGTAAGGATAGCATGCTTTAAACAACAATTACAAAAGATGAAAGAGACAGTTGGAGTCTTGCAAGGTCACTCAAAGTAAGCAGAATGTTTCCAAAAAATAGGCTTATTTTGCTCAAGATTATAACTAGAATACTACATATTTCCATAAATTAGTCATCTAACTTATGTCAACATGGGGGAAGTAGAAAATTAGAAACTTTAATTTGTTCTACAGATTAAGAGATTATGGCTTTTCCAAAACCAAGACAAAGTTACTTTAGAGAATTCAATTGAGATGCAATTCTAAAGGTTTGAGTAAATCACAAATTGAGAAGGGACGAAAGTAAATAATTCGCACAGAAATTATAATTGTTCAGTCCTTTAAAGCTCTATAAAGGTTAATTTGACATGCTCTATAAATATATTTGAGAAGACTGACAAAAATGAAGATCTCATAAAGCATATATACAAGAAAACAAGTTAATCCAACATACTTTCTTTTGCCAAAATCAACATCTCCAATTAATGTGCACTTCAACTTATTTTGTTACTTTATGTGATTTACATCTTTGCTAATCATTAATTGTTTTGTATTTTACAGTGTTATGGAGAAGATGCAAATTGATGGTACACTAACGAAGTAATGCAAACTGAAAATGGTGTACGATATTTATGAGAAGTTGGATCCAAAGCACAAAAATAAGCTTTAGAAGACCTACTTTGAATCATTTCTAAAATCGAGAAAAATTAAATTGGCATCACAAATTGTGTATCGATTACTGTTGCAAATGATGCAGATCACAAAAAAAGAAGAAGCATGGTATAAGATTGGGGATAAACATTCAAGATTTAGGTTGCAGGAATTTGTATTGGTGACCTGCTTGATTGCTGGTAATTGTGAAGATGTAGATAACACATTGGGGGGAGAATGTTGGATTACAAAGGGAGATGTGTACATGCATTTGTAAGTTGAAAAAAAGAATGACTAGTACAAGTTGGGACTGATCGTTATCGTAGCGTACATCCTATAGGTTACGGAGGAGAACATGTACATTGACTTATTGTGGTTTTCCTTGGTGGATGATATCAATAGATTCGACAAGTATCCATGGGGAAAAATATCATTTGAATACACGATTAATATTTTGATGGGGGATGAATTGAGAAATTCAGATATAGGAAGACAGTCACAGTGTATGTATTCATTATTCGACTTTTCCTTGCAATAATGGTAGGTACAAACAATATACTTGATTTTGTATTATTTTTGTCTATAAATTTGTGTTGTGAAATAATAATGTTTGTTTTACAATATATTTGGGCATTTGATGCGATTCCAAGTTTGAGAATCAAGTTTACTAAGAAATATTCAGATGCAATTCCAAGAATGCTCGATTGGAAAATATCTAAGAGGTTAGCGTTGCTACAATTGATAAGGTGTTGGAATCAAAAGAGTCAACTTACCTTTTTTTATTTCACTTTAATGGGTACGAATTGTGGACTATGCTTAACAAATAGCTAATTATTTGTGCAATTTAATATTTGCAACTGGAGTTTAATTCTACATTGCTTCCCACAGAAGCTAAACTCGATGAGATTTATTGGAAAGAGTTGGCTCGAGTTGTGGAAGAAGATACACCATTCAGAAGGAGATGAGGTTGAGTATGATATCGAGCCATATCATTCCTTCCACCAACAATCTCTTGAGCTTCTCAACCACCATCGATATCTTATGAGGTGAGCATAGAAGATTTACTAAAAATGGAATGGAAAATTTTAAGGGAAGGTTGCAAGTGGACTTGTCTACCCAGATTGATCGAATGGAGCAAAAGATTGATAGGCTAGTTGAATTAGCTGTAGCGAGTTGATTTCATTCAGTAACTAGTGCATTTGATGGTGCCACTAGTAGTATAACTAATGGACCCAAAGATCGAACGAAGGGCGGGTTGAAAAAGGAGGTTAGAATTGATGATGTGATGGTTGAGCCTATAAATGAAACAAAGTTAAAAAAATGAGCTAGAGAAAAGATAGGGGCAGGAAAAGAAACTGTATCCTCCTTAGCTTTCTTTGATGTAAAAAAATCAGTGGGCTTTCCTTTCTCCATGCATTCAATCTCATCGCCATCATTTTCATCGTCTCCGAATTATTCTCCTACCACTGTCTCTTCTCCAGCCTCTTCTGTTACCATCGTTTCATTTTCATGCTCCTCCATTACACCCCAACTCCAACTTCAACTTCTTTCCCTCCAACATTCTCCTCTCTCACCTCCTCTTTTAACTTTGATTCCTTCTCAATCTCAACGATCACATCCTCAACTCCAGCCTTAAGTTTCTTTTCCTTCCCCTATCTCTTCTCCAGCTTCCTCTTCTAACTTTGTTTCATTTGCAAGCTCAACCATCACATGATCGACTCCAACCTCATTTTTCAACCCGTTCTCTAGTCGATCTTTTGGTACACTAGTTGTACTACTGGTGGCACTGTCAAATACACTAGTTACAAAATAAAATTGTCCCATTACAACCAATTCAACAAACCTATCGATCTTTTGCTCCATTCGATCTAGCCGGGTTAATATGACCTTTGCAATATTCCCTCAAATTTTTTCTATTTTCATTCTTACTGAGTCTACTATGTTCATCTAATAAGATACCAATGGTGGTTGAGATACTCAAGGAGATTGTTAGTAGAAGGAATGATATGGCTCGGCATCGTGCTGCCCTCATCTCCTTCTAAATGGTGTGAAGCATCACCATCTTCTTCCACAATCGAGGTCAACTCTTTCTAATAAACCTCCTCAAGCTTGGCTACTATAGGAAGCAATGTAGAATTAACCTCTAGTTCCAAATATTAGATTGTGCAAATAATTAGTTATTCACTAAGCAAAGTCCACAATTTGTCCCCTTTAAAATTAAATAAAGAAAGGCAAGTCAACTCTTTCGATTCCAGCACCTTATCGATTACAGTAGATGCCAACCTCTTCAACATTTCCCAAGCGAGCAACCTCTTCGACATTTCCCAAGCGAGCATTCTTGGAATTGCATTCGAATATTTCTTGGTAAACTTGATTCTCAAACTTGGAATCACTTCAAATGCCCAAATTTATTGTAAAACAAACATTATTATCTCACAACACAAATTTATAGACAGAAAATAATAGAAAGTATATTGTTTGTTCATACCATTATTGCAAGGGAAAGTTGTATAAGGAATACCTACACTGTGACTTTTTTCCTACATCTGAATTTCTCAATTTATCTCCTATCTGACGTTTGAATACATTAATTGTGTATCCAAATGATACTTCCCCCATGGGATACTTGTCGAACATGTCGATACATCCACCGAGTCAAACCACCATAAATTAATGCATGTGTTCTCTTCCATGGTCCACATGACGTACGCTATGATAACGGATAAGCCCTAACTTGTAATTGTCGCTTTTTTTTCAACTTTCAAATGCATTGTACATCTCCCTTTGTAATCTTTTCCCACTTTTCTT